GGTCCCAGAGATCACTTGCAATCGTTGAACATACCGGTGGTGGCGGACCTCCCGGTGGGCGACAACCTTCACGACATGGTATTTGTGCCGCTTTACTATCGTATCGACAACTCGTCACTAATAGATCCGTTGCCCTATTTTACTGTCGAAAATCTGTACAATTTGTATACGAGTGCGAGCGGGCCGTTAGCCCATCACCCCGATGGCATCACATACATCAACACCCGACACAATCAACGCGGTCTGGATTGGCCCGACTCTATGATCATATCGGTTGTCGAGTACTTTGGCGACAGTTTGAACGGAACGGTCTCTCAATATATCGATAACTCGTAAGAATTGCCTAAAAATCATATGAAAATCACATAAATTGTGTTAATTTTAACAACTTTCTAGTCAATTGTGGTCCGATTATTGGCGCCCATATGTTGGCGGATATTACATGGCATTGGATCCGGTGTTGGCCCGACCGGTGAGCAGAGGTACAGTACGTCTGAATAGCAGCAACCCTTACGGCCCGCCATTAGTGGATCCGAAATATTTGACCGAAAAACGCGACTTTGAGACAATTCTGGACGCCGTCCGACTCACTGTCTATATAACAATGAAAGCGCCCATAAGTGGTGTCACTGTATTTCCTCCCATTCCCGGCTGTCAACTGTGCGACAAGCGATACATTTGCGACGACTATCTCAGGTGTCACGTGAGACAACTGGCCAGAAGTTACTATAACTTTGTGGGCACGTGTAGGTGAGGCAATCGTTTGTCACTTTATTAGTGATTTAGTAGTTAGAAATTCATTAGACTTTTAGCTAAAGTTATGAAAATAGTAATAAATTATTGATTGCTTACCGAAAGGATGGGTCAAAGCGGCGATAATAAGGCAGTGGTTGACAGTCGGCTTCGGGTTAGAGGCGTATCCAATCTGCGAGTAGTGGACGCGTCGGTCATCCCTGAGATCCCTAACGGACACACAAACGCCGCCACTATTATGATCGCCGAAAGGGCCGCACAATTCATTACACAACATAATTAATATTAATTAGTATTTAGTATTATTTATTATTATTATAAATTATTAGTAATATTTTATACATGTAATTTAATTTGAATAAAATATTATTTATAAATAATTAATTTATATTTGAATAACATATTTATTAATGACATTTAATTAATTATTTTTATTGCAAAACAGTGTTAAGTTTTAAAATTATTTGACAATTGGTTATTTTTACAATACTATTAAATTAAATTAATTATTTTACAATTCATAACACTTTAGATAAATATAAGGTTTAAACCGCGAGCCGTCTGGAAATCACATTTAATTTAAAACATTATATTTTATCAATAGTTTAGAAAATGTTTTACTATTTGTTGTGAATTTGAACCAAAACAAAGTCGAAACAATCAATGATTGATATAACAAATGATAATCAAATAATATATCATTTATTGAATAATAAATTCAATGAAATTTATGTGAATTACTAAACATCTGTTTGTTTATTGATATAAATGGGTATTAATT